GCATATGTTTTTTTTTTTTTTACAGCCGATCCACTGTTAATCCACTGCTGGATGAGGGCCTCCCCTAGCCATGCTGGCCACGAGGATCGTTGGACCGTACTTCTGCCACGCCTGCTCAGTGCTGGCTGGTGAATGAGACGACCAGGTTTAGTCCACATGACTCGCCGCCAATGTTAACCATGGCAGGGAATTGAACTAAGTTTGCTGGACTCGTAGTGTAGTGACGTAGTTGTCTGGAAGTTTGCCTGCACCACCAAACGACACGTCGCCCCAGGTCTTCCCAGACATGACAATGCCATCTCTATTCTCCACGCTTCTTAAGACACGGAGCTCATTGATGAACACCTTTATTCGCCTTCTAATATTCGGGATCTTGTGCCTACGATCCATGAACGTGTCTACGTGCGTGTGTAACGCAAGCATGTGGCGGGGCGGGTGAACGTGGATAAGCGAACTTGCACGATGAACCCGGCGACCTGAATTTGATTCCTGGCTACGGCGAACCGGTTCGGGATCCCCCCCTCCTTCAACCAACGCGGCCTGGCCGGCGTGGTGAAGAATGATCAGACGACCCCAATGACGGACGCCATGTCGGGGAGGCCTTCAACCAGGAGCGGATTGTGTGCGAGCGAACATGTGAGCGTGCGACGAGGGGAACCGAATTATCTCTGGCCCTCTTGCCTACAACACCTTTTACCCCAATAGCCCTGGCCACCCAAATGTCCCATTATCTGTGGATTAGCCTTATTATAAAGCAAATGTGTGTACAATAGGAAAGGGGCGGGCACAGCTCTAGTCGTATGTCATTATCCTCGTTTGTCTGTAGATAACTCGCAAATTAATCATCAGTTAGGCCCTAAATCCATCCCATTCCCCGTGATTACCCACGGATAATGGAGATGAATACTGACTATGATGTTCTTTTTTTCCTATTATTTGTAGTTATCACAGATAAGACCTTGTTTCCGTAGCTATTAGGAGGAACACTTCTCTTATACCGTACACGCACTTGCTCAAGAAATGAGACGGCTTCCCCACTGTCCCAGAAAACACGAGATGTACCGTACAATAACGCACGTGTCAACCCCCCACACCTGTACGCACGTACGTTGAGCTTCTCTCGCACCGCACGCAGCCAACCGTTCTAATCGGAGGTGCCGGGGGAAGGACAACCATACCTGTGCGAGGTGCCGGGGGCTGTTTTGACCATACTTCTCCACTCTGGTCAGTGCGGGATGGTGAGGGTGTGGACGAGTAGACACGGGAAGCATAGAAATACGGTACAGCAATGGATGTTTGTCGCATCGCCTTCCCCTACGCACCTGTGGCAACATATCTGTGAGTGTGTGCGGTGTGGGGAGCGGTAGAGTAGTGGTTAGCGTGCTGCACTACGAACCCGGCGACCCGAGTTCGATTCCCGCTCACGGCCAAGGCCAACACCGGCGATGATTATCTGAACTGGTCCTGGTCCTCCCCTAGGCCGGCAAATGAGTACCTGGTTGCGGTGCGTAAACATCGCCACTGGGGAGACAAAGGCGGTCGTGGTGCTGGCCACTCACCCCCTCGTGTACCGTTACGGCCTTCATAGGTGCTCGCTAACAGCACTTGCCCCAACAGTCTGTGGAGGCTATACGGGTGATTTTTGTATTTTGGTGCTCCACCCACGCGCTGCCCCTGTCCAGGTTCAATCTTGCTTAGCTCTGGAGATACAACGAGATCGGGCGCATTCCACACTATTTGGTCGTCACGTAGGCAACTGTTGTTTTTTATATATCTGTAATGTACACGCTCGTTAACCCTCCTTGTCTATTTGTGCACCAAATATGGGCACAATCTAAACTATAAAAAATAATTTTACCAGGTTAAGGCCCACTGAGCTGTATTGCTCTTTTTCAGAAGCGACCGGGCCACAAATGATCGTGGCCTATTCATATGGAAATGCATAGCAGGCCAAGTACTCTAAACTCGTGCCGTTGGATCTAAATCTGGAAAGAAAAACCAGAGGACCCGTAAAAAAATCCACGTGACCACGAGGAGAGAGACACGCTAACTCCAAATATACAGCAGGGGTCGGGGTCGAACCCACGAATCTCCTGTGTACCAGGCGAGGTGGTTAACATCTCGCCACCGTATTTGATTCATGGATCTTACAGAGACTCATGTTGGACCAGTGTCCGAATGGTCGCCGAGGTTTGTTTTGGTCGTAGACATATCACGGCCTTTTGCAATGAATATTTGACAGGATGCTGACGTCAAGGACAGGAACACTGACCAACACGCGAATTGAGCCCTGGTTGACAAGTGAACAAGCTAGGTAACAACTGTCCTTGCCTGCACCGTCTGGCAGTTCACCAGCATTGATTCAAGCCGTCCTCACTCTGCCATCCTCAGTCTGCTGATGAGACACTGAATTTCAAAACTGACCCTGAGGTTGTTATCCTCTTTTTACGGAATCAATGCTGCTGATATTATGAACTTCCAAAAGGCCGTGCAGCCAATGGATTACGTAAGAATACTTGACAGATATATGACGAGTACATTGTCTGAAATTTGTTTACCTTATACATTTGGACGTATATGTGTGTACATAGTTCCATACGGGAGTGCGGGCGGGTAGTGTAGGGGTTCGCGCACTGCGCTACGAACCCGGCAACCCGAGATCGATTCCCGCTCACGGCCAACACCGGTGACGATTATCTGAACCGGTCCTGGGCCTCCCCCTAGGTCGACTCTGCCTCAAATGAGTACCTGGTGCGGTGTGTAAAAGCATCGCCACTGGGGAGACAAAGGCGGTCGGGCGTGGTGCTGGCAACCCACACACCCTCGTTTACCGTGCCGGCCTTCATAGGTGCTCGCTAACAGCACTTGCTCCAACAATCTGTGAAGGCTACACCAGATACATTTGTCTTACTTTTGTTTAAAATTGCATACGGTTTATCGATTGAGTGTTTGCAATGTACAGGGTCATACATTTATAGATACCCCACCGATTTATAATGACCCGCTCGCTTTCTTGCCAACAGACGATTACATATTGTAAAAGTGCAGGCCTTCACATATCGTCGTGATGGATGGAGATTAGCTGTAGATTGGATACGATGCTCTGAATGTAACAGTTGGCTTCTCTATACGGAAGTCTCCCGATTCTTTGAGTGGGTCATCTATAAATGGGTCCCCATATATTTCAACTGCGTGCGTATGACAAGCACACCACGTTTTGAGTCTACGTCTCAAAAGTGGAAAAATCTGCCAGGCCGTTTTCTCTCAGCTTCGCAACGTTAATTGATGATAGATAGACAGATGTCGTCTGCTCACATGTGCTAGTACCTATCAACCCACACGGGTTATCCTCTATTCTTGCACAGGGAAATTGAGCTTTTAGGTCCATACAGCGTACAGCCCGTTTCAATATGGGCAAACCAAATGTTTTGTCTGTTTGTGTTTCTATACGTTTTGGTTCTTTCGGTAAAGTCACGTAGCTTCAAATCAAGATTGTTTGTGTTTCTCCATTGTGATGGGACTTTGTGGGATGAACGTTGAGATGAAAAGGGCACGGGGTGACCAATTCGTTGTGGTCTGTAATAAGCTAGGCACTGATAAGGGGTTAGCAGGTATGTGTGGTGCTGTACAGCGCAGTACAAGTCGTACTGCTGGCAGAGTTTAGAGGACTGGTATAAAGAAAGAGTGCTGAGAATACGCATTAAAGGAGACTCAACTCTCAGGCTCTGTACTTGATTTGGAGAGCCCAACCCCTTGTTGTTCTACAATGAAGTCAAGTTCACGTATAAAGTGTGCATAGTGGGTTATTAATATACTGAACCGTGTATCCTTACGGGGTTTTGTATGGGTTTTGCGGATAACATCGCGGATCCTGATATCCGCAAAGATGTGTCCTGCAGACACGTACGGCTGACATATACAGCAATTGTACATGTGTGTAAACTTTAGTGACTTTACAGTCTTCTCGTATCTACAAAGTACACACGGATGCACAACGGATGAGCGGTGGCCCACTAATTAGCGCACTGCGTCTCTGGACGTGGTCTCACCCGGGTTTGATTCCCGACCACGGCTCATCAGTGCCGACCAAAGTGGTGAAGTATGGTCAAACAACCCCATGGCTGACATATACAGTGGAGGGGGGGGGCTTCATCCAGCAGTGTATTGGTCGTGGTCGATGATAATCATGCCCGATAAACACGTCCACACACACCCCGCACACTTAAGTGCGTTAACGCACAACGTAGTAAGAAGTAGAAGGCTGCTGCCATGATCTTGATTGGTATAACAACAATAATAACATATGCCGTGTGTGTGTTGTGTGGTTATTGTACGACGAACTTCTTTCGCACCGTACGTAGCAAAGCGATGCGCGGTGTTTATTTAGCTTTGTAGAGGCATTTCTGGAAGGTTTGAACACACATGTACTTGTTGTCGTGTTGTACACAGTGAAGTACATGAGTGAACAGTTTGTATATATAGTTATGGTAGTGAAAGAATACTGTAAATGCGCAATGGTAGTAAATTGTACCAGTGTAGTGCAGCGCACGCAGATTGTACTCACACTCTGACAGGATATTACACATTTAACACTAAAGGCTTTCGCGAGCAATATTACTCACGATAAAGTGTTTTACCACGACGGATATTACTACACGTAACACACACACACACACTGCGGTAGTATTACACGATCGTGGGTAGCACATCGCCACACACTACGAGTGTTTAGTTTACACCGTGTACACACATACCAAGAGCAGTTTAGTACAGCGTGTCGCACTAACACTTCCACAGTATACAGTACACACATCACGCACGCCAAAGTGCTCACGATACACAACTGTGCACAACACATTCCGTCGTACAGCACACAGTACACACCGTGACAGCATACACACACACACACACTTGTGTGATACGCAACATTAGTGAACTGGAGCACACACACATCAGTAGCACAGCGCGGACACTTCAACAGACGTAGCAACAACACCCACCACCATCGGGCTTCATATCGACTCCAGGGGCTGAGGCGCTCCTCTGCCCTCCTCCTCCTCCTTCTCCTCAGGTCACCGCGTCTCAGGCGAAGTGCGCGCTGGCGGCTGCGGCGGCTGCGGCGGTCACCTCTCCCGTGGCCGTGGCCTTGACGCTGACGGCCCCGGCAAGCCCGGGCCAGCAACGTCCGTCCGCGACCGCGGCGCTCGAACGACTGAGCCCCATGTCCATCGCGCGCACCGACCCCCGCCCCCCGCGTGTGGGGGCGGGGCTCCGGCCTCGGATGAGGCGGGGCAGCCACCGCTTTCGAGTCGTCCCATTGGCCAGAGGCTCAATCCCGGGGGGCGGTGGCATCGAAGCGCAACAAAGCCGCTGATTGGTTGCAGTGTGTGTGTGTGTTGCGGGGGGAGGGGGGGGCTTTGCGTGCGCTTGGTGGAGAGGAGGGGGGGGGCTCGGTCTCGAGACGGGGGGGGGGGGGCGCGCGCTTTACCGCACCAGGCGACCAATCGGCGGACCCGCCAGCGTTTTGTTGTCGTTGCGTCTCGCCCAATCGGCGGCGGGAGAATTGACGGTGACGCGGCCGCTCGTCGCGTCCGTTGACCAATTGGGTGTGCGGGTCGCTTCTGTTGCTGGGGGAGTGGGGTGGTGACTGCCCCCCCCCACCAACTCCTCTGCTCACCCACCCCCCGCACACACAGCCCCCACCCTGCCGACTAAGGTGTTCGGTGAAGGCGCAGCCCTGCAATTCCCTGCTCACGCCCCTGCTGGTGGAAGAGGGCCTCTCCACTTGACGCCACGTCGACGTAACCGAGACGTTGTTACAAGAGGCGGGATACCCACGCTTAGCCCCACCACGCAACCCATGGACACGCGCGTCAGCCAACTCGTGGTTGTTCTGTACCGGTTTATACGACTCGGCAGGATGATCGGTTTCAGAAACTTTGCCCCCCCCCCCCCCCATTGTTTCGACTGATTCAGCTGCCGCGGCGGGAGATCGAACGGGTGTCCTCTCGACCATTAAAGCCAGAGTGGCTTGTCCCATTGAGGAAATGAAGAAGGGACATTGCCCGAAACGTCGCCTGTTATATTTCCTTTTTTTTACTTTTGAGGACACAGATTTATTGACGAATGTGTTGATATTTTTGTTGTTGTTATTTGTGCGCTACTGGTAATGCAGCATCACCAAATATTTTGTTTAAAACAAACTTGATTTGAAGCTTTCGTGAGTGCAGGAATTACTCTTTGGTTCTTCCGGTAAAGTCACGTAGAAAGAAAATAAATTAAGTAATAGAATACGACGTTTCGATTGCAGCACAAGCAATCGTCATCAGGTAAAAATGAATGAGAAAACAAACATAGTAAACTTAGAAATATAACGCAATACAACACAGAGAGTCGGCTAACATAACAGTCAACACCCTACCTGTTTGATTACGTTCTTCCAAAGATTGATACATTTTAATTTAAAGCTTTCGTGACTGCAGGGATTCATATTCTTGGTTCTTTCGGTAAAGTCACGTAGAAGGGAAATAATAAAATAATAATAAATAAAACAATACAATTCTCACGACGTTTCGTTTTCACACCTGATGATGATTGCTTGTGTTGCAATCGAAACGTCGTGAGAATTTTATTGTTTTATTTTTTTATTTCCCTTCTACGTGACTTTACCGAAAGAACCAAGAATATTGCTAAATTTGTTTAAAACATTTTTTGCCAGTCTGCTTGGCGGGGCGGGGGCTGGCAGCGGTGTTGATTACGCGGCGTTCTTGCCACAAATTTAAGCCGAACATAACTGGCAGGGTATTGCTTTCGCTCTTATTGCTGCGAGAGCCAGCCTCAGTTTTTTCATTGGGGGTGACAAACATTGGACCCCATCGTTGTGGCCTTAGAGGCACCACTGTCGTGGAAATGCCAAAACAACAACACAAATATCGTGTTAAGTGTTGTTAAATACCATGGGCGGGGGCAATTTCCCTCCCAAACTGGACACTTTTATTAATTAATTTTCAGTAATTTAGGATGAAGATAAAAAATTACAATTGCATGCACCCGCAATTCCGAATGTGAGGGACAAAGCAAACTCCGCCCGTGCTAAATACCAATTGTCTCAATTCAATGTCTTTTCATTCAAATACATAATGGTCAACTAATTGTTGTTCAAGTACATTACGTGTTCTTTTGTTGAGTAAACCTGGCACCACAGATAGGGGTGTAACTTCACTTGAGAGCCATGCAACAATGAGAACCTTGTCGAATGGCCTCGCGGCCAGCGCATGGAACACTCCCTACCCTAAGTGGCAATTGTAGTGATACACTTCGCCAAACACACAAAAAACTGTTTTTATCTTCCAACAAGGAGGATGGATTGATGGCTACTCAGTGGGGTTCCAATTACATTGGGGAGATCTCCAATGCCTCAAACGAGATAGATCGCTTCTCTTTCTCATGGGAAAGATCCGATAAGAAATGTAATTATTAGTTCTTATACATACGTGAGATGCTTACGTGAGTAGGTTACACTCCGAGACGAGTGGAAAAGATGGGGCCAGACAGCCCAGAGAGGCCAGAGGGTTCAGACAGACTGAGCCTGAGAGCCTAGAGGGGCCAAACAGCCCAGGCCAGAGAGTCCAGAGGGGGCAGAGAGTCCAGAAGGGTCAGACAGCCCGTGCTAGAGAGGCCAGTGGGGACAGACAGCCTGGACTCGAGAGGCCAGATGGGCCGAAGAGGCCAGATGGGCCGAAGAGGCCAAACAGCCCTGGCCAGAGAGTCCAGAGAGTCAGGAGCACCCGTGATATACACGTGAGCCGGGCAGCGTGCACTGCTGTGCGTGTAAGCTATGCATCGCATGAGAACGGCTCAAACTCGTATTAACCACTCAGTGGTAGATTGGTAGAGCAGCAGTGGAGAAGCTAAACGCTAATTTTAACATTTGCACTTGTTTAACGACATGGGGCCCACACCCAGGGCAGGTGAGATTAAGGAGACTCAAAGTGAGTGCTGCAGAAGGAATATTGCAGAGAAAGAAGACAGATTTTCCTCCGGGAGAAGGAAAAGAAAGGTTTTACTTTTAGAGAAAGAGAGATGAGTTCATATTGCACCTGTAGTGGGTTTTATCGAAGGCGGAGACGAATCTTTGGAGGCAACACTTTATTCCAATAACGCTACAGTACAGCCACAGTCTCTCACGAGGGCAACGGCCCCTTCAGACTCCCACCTGGGGAGGTACTGCCTCATGGCTCTTGTGCCCTTTCACGGGCCTACAGGCCCTGGGTCCTCCGGCTACGTGTGCCCTAGGGGAGGCTGCACTAACCCGACCCAGCCAAGGTACGGTTCCCGACCACTGGCCCACTCGGACCCGGCCCTTACAAGGACGTCGGGCCGGGGGTTCCCAGGGTCTCACCACTGGCCCACAGAGTCCCGGCCCTTACAAGGGCAGCTGGGCTAGGGGTCCCAGGGTACTAGCTAGCTGGTCTTCTAGCTTCTGTCTTGGACTGGCCCCGGACCCTTCCAGAGGTCCGGCTTTTATACACTGCCCAGTGTGTCAGCCCCTGGCCACGCCTACCTTCCAGACAGTTCCAAGGGGGGGGGGGGGGGGTTCGGGGGATCCCAGGACACCCCGCAGCCCCCTCCTGCTTTGGGGCTGGGAATATAGCGACTGCCCCTGCAGGAACGTGTCTGTCCTTCCCTCCGCACCTCCGATTAGCGCGGTTGGCTACGTACGGTGCGAAAGAAGTTCAACATACACACGTGCATTGTGTGCTCGAATACTTTCGCATTCGCCACCCAGAGGATCTCCTGCACGCCCACCGTGTCACGACTTCTCGACGCTCTCCTGCGAGACGACCAGCTGCGACACAGACCTGTGCCTGACATCAACGCGAGTTCATAATCATCACTCTGACGCTCTCAGCAATCCCATCACGACAATTGGATTATCACATCTTATAATTGACAATCACTGGAACGCAAGGCAACAGCTTCTCAGACTATATGGTGCCAATGGTATTCTGAATTTAATATATGCGTAAAATATTAACCGTGCTTCATATTTTAAACACGGATTGCCTTTGTTGCCATAGTTTGACTTATAATCATCATGACATGCACTGGGTGTTGCCTTATTAACCTCAATTCTGCGTTAAGTCATTGATTAATTTATTTTCGTTTTTTTTTATTGTGTAACAGTATCAAGCATCATTTGAACCGAGTGACAGTTGCATATTTGATGACTGTTACTCAATTTTTTACATAAATAAGAGACGTGTTGCATTAAAATGTTGTGTGTGTGTGCTTGAACGTTGTGTCCAATCCATCCATTACATGCGAGACGTAAAATAATCCGGACAAGTCAGGCTGCCTTCTATCATTGTGTATAACGAATCAATCATACCCCGAGACAAATCAAACCTGACAATAACTGGCAGACACCTTCCAGATCGACGCCGCTGACGACAAGAGTGGCAGAACGATCGCCAAACGAGCACCGCCGCTCGCATGCCGTTGGAGGGTTCTCATCTCGCAGTGGACTGAACAAAATCTGGTGCACAGAAGCTGACGTGTGAAACTGCACACGCACGATAACACATTCCTCCTGCGGAGGGAGCTGGTAGGAACGTTGGGTTGCTCGGTCAATGGCCAGGATCAACGGCGGCGTGGTGTATTCCGCAAATATGGCCGACTGTGGGGCGGGCACAATCCGGCGTGAGTAGGTTAAACGTTGAGTTTTATAAAGGCACCACGGGGTGACCAGCCCCTCCCCATCCAGCCCCACCCCATCCAGCCCCACCCCTCCCACCCCCCACCCAGCCCCACCCTCCCCACCCAGCCCCTCCCCTCCCGACCCTCCCCACTCAGCCCCTCCCCACCCAGCCCCTCCCCATCCAGCCCCACCCCTCCCACCCCCCACCCAGCCCCTCCCCTCCCCACCCAGCCCCTCCCTGCACGACGGACGGACGGACACAATAATCCCCTGTGGGCTGATGTAACCAGGAGGTTCCTACCAGTAACAATACACCTGTATAGCGATGCATTTGTATACGTGTATTGTTTTAATTGTTGTCTGTGTCCTGCACGTCGTCAATTGCAATGCTTTGTCTATAGATGGTGGGCGAAATAAGTGCTTCCAGCCACTTTCATGTGTTGCAAGATTCAAGGGAACTGCCGACATAGGTGAGTTGTTGTCTCTGCCGGCACCACACGCCACTGGGATAGCGAAGT